AACAACACCGGAAACATTTGGAGCAGTGTGTGCAACTGCGCCACCTGCAGGCAGAAGTGAAGCAGGTGGGTGACACTGAGAACTGATGGGGAATTCTGGCAGGAAGAATTTCCCATGATCCACTTGTAGTTGTCCTGATATGTAAGGTTGTACCTGCCTCAAGACAGCATCTCCTGGTAAAAGTGGAATCCATAGCCTCCCTGGATGGCTGGCTGAGTGACAGAAGAGCTCCCAGCTCTCAGGCCACAGCCCTTGAAGATGTCACTCTTCTGCTTGTTTTACAGTTTGGTGGTCCCTGCTAAAAGCACATTACTTCCTGGGCTAAGGAGCTGCATGATTTCCCCCCTAAATTTTTATTAATCTGGACATAGCCACAGTCTGCAAGGCTGGGCTTTGCTTGAGTTATCTGCACATTATATATAATATCACATATAGGGTTAGGGCCAAAACAAAAATGACCTAAACACCAGTAGGAGTCATATGTAGATAATTGCGCTTGAACCTGTGGTAGGGGTAAAGTGGAGTTCCCTGATAAAGGGGCTTGATGGGGAAGTGGGAATGCTATATTCTGCCCATGGCACAGAAAGCCTTTGTTGGCCTAGGAGCCCCAGACACAGCCTGGTGTGGTGCAGACACCGGTTGAGTTCACAGGAGAGCACATGTTCCTGGCACCAGAGGTGGTCAGGGGACTCCTGCTGTTTTCTTGTATCCTTAGTGCCACTAGTATTTGTACCTTTGAAGGAAACACAGCATTGTAACCTGTGCATGGTTCTTTTTGCCTCAAAAAAAAAAACCCACTTATTTAAGAAATGAAGTAGTTATTCAGTATGCCAGCATTCACAGATATCAGACACCTGAAGGTGAGAGCAACAACATGTGTCAGAAAAGCAGTTTTCAGAACTGACCCAGAGACTTCTGTTCTGAATCACAGGCTAGACTTGGTGTTTTTAAAGTTCTCACCAAAGGCTGGCTGTTGCTTTGATTTATAAGCAGATTACAAAAGGGAAATATTGATTGTGAATGTATCCTGAGGTCACAGCGACAGTGCAGAATGAGCTTCCATGGTGGTGGTGGCTTCTACCATCAAAACTGACTTCTTTCTGCATGTAAACTTCAGAGTCTTGTGGTTTGGCCCCTGAGCATTGTAGTGCAACCTGTCTCACACCTCAGCTATTGTGTCATTTAACACCAACACTACCCAGACAGTCAGTGAAGCAAATGGGCTGCCATTTCTAAGCAGGTTGACCAGTCTTGCTGTGGATTAGGAGTGAGAGTCTGAACAGGAAATAGCAGGGCTTCCCTCAGAGAGCTCGCTCAATTGAGCAAGTTTGCTTAGAACTCAGAGCCTGAACTGTTCTGGTCTGTGTTTGTAGGGCCTGCTGCATGCCACTGTCTTCTAAAACAACAGACTTGCAGCCCTCTGGAGACAGTGCTTGTGTTGAGAGCCCTTCAGGGATTGCAGGCTGTGTCAGTAGGATAGTACAGAAGTCGGTGCTGCCTCCCGAGGAGTTCCCCAACCTTTAATATACTTCCTCATGTTGTGGTGGCCCCCAACCATGACATGATTTTCCTTGCTGCTTCATAACCATCGTTTTGCTACCTTTATGAATTGTAATGCAAGTATCGGTGTTTTCCCATGGTCTTAGGAGATCCCAGTGAAAGAGTCGATCAACCTCCAAAGGGGTCGCAACTGGAAAGGTTGAGAACCACTGCTCTATACCACTTTGCAGGCCCAACCCCTATCCCGGGTGTTTTTCAGGGTGCACTGGAAGGTCCACTGCTTAGAGTTACCCAGTGCCCTCTTTCAGGTGCTGGGCTGGATCCGAAATGGAGAGTCCATGTTAAATGCTGGCCTCATTACCGCCAGCTCACTCCAGGAAGCCGAGCAGCTACAGAGAGAACATGAGCAGTTCCAGCACGCCATTGAGGTAAGGCAGTGCCTAAGGGTGGACCTAATGGCACGGAGACCAGCCTGATGACAGTTGATGTGACCCCAACCACTGGAACCAGCCATGGCCTGAGTGGGAAAGAAATAACAGTGCTCATCAGGTCCCCATTGATTGAGGGAGAAGGAAACATCCCACAGCTGCAGCCGATTGAGGACAGCCTTGCAGCAAGTGTCCCAGTGGCCAGGGCTCCCTTCTCCCCCAGGAAAGGACCGTAGCAGGATGCTTGGACTCTGATTAGTAGTGTCTTAAGTCTTGCTGGTCTTACATGCACAGTCTTATATGTAACCATTTTGAACTTAGTGGTATGAAGGTTCTCTCACTGTGATCAGGGACAAGTAATGCTGATGAAAAAACTCTGTGCTTGCTTAGAAGCAACAGGATTCACCTTGATGGGTTAAGGGGCAGTACTAAACCAGTGTCAAAAAGCCTTTGCCCATGCAGGCAGCTCACCATTGCTGTTAGTGGTGCACTGATAGTTTCAGAATGGGCTTCTTTAGGAGTGGGTAATAGTTCTGATAGGTGCTCTCACAGTGTAGACGGGGTTTCAAAAGGAGTGTTTGATAGTAGAACCTTGGTGTTAGCCCAAGAAAAGCCACAGAAGCCAGCACTGATTTACCCCAAGGTTAGTGTATTGTCAGCTGCCCAGGCCAATGGCAGCCTTTTACTAAGGCTCCAACTCCAGGCAGCTTTGCAAAACTGAATAGCTGCAATGTCAAGGGGTTCTGGTAATCAAGGTCAAGTCATTTGGGAATCTCTACCATGGTCAGTCTTTACAGGATCATTTCCACTGTATCAGGTGAAATGAAAGATTTTCTTTTCTCTGAGGCACTTGTGTGCTTGCTGGTGCCTTGTATTCTAGATCTTTCCTGGAGAGCTCTTGGCATCAGACATCAGGGTTTACCATGTGATTTTCTTTGTGTGTGGCATGGAACATTCTCAGCCTTTGCTCTATTTTTCTTTTTCTTAAAAAAAAAAAAATCACTGGTTCTTCAAAACTCTTTTGACTGGAGTCTAGTGCTTCAGTTGAAAATGAAAATAAAAGGCATTTGCTATGGCCTCCTTTTCCCCACTTGTTCTGTTGCCAGCGGTAGCTGTCACAAGAAAGCCAGTAGGGATAAATAAACTCAGCACAATTGAACAGTGCTTTAGAATATCAATTGATGAGAGTTGTTCCTGTTGCTTCTCAAGTGGCAAACCCCACAGTACCATTCTGGGAGGTCTTAATGCATTTCATCCTTCATTTGATAAACTAAACATCAGCTTGGTTGGTGGCAGGCCTAGAACTACTTCACTGAACTGCCCTCCGTATTTACAAAGCATCCCAGCTAGGGTTGGTTGTTAGCCATGAAGAGCATCCCAGTTCTCCTCTTGGAGTGTGATGCCCTGCTGATGAGCCTTCCATCTTCCCCGTGTCTAGAAAACGCATCAGAGCGCACTGCAGGTGCAGCAGAAGGCCGAGGCCATGCTGCAGGCCAACCACTACGACATGGACATGATCCGAGACTGTGCAGAGAAGGTCGCCTCACACTGGCAGCAGCTCATGCTCAAGATGGAAGATCGCCTCAAACTTGTCAACGCCTCGGTCGCCTTCTACAAGACTTCAGAGCAGGTTGGGAGAGAGGGTCTGCTCCTAGAGTCCTGGTGACTGACTGTGCTGGACTTTAGGGACAGCTGCACCACCACTGACATAGCCACCCCTAGTGAGTCAGTCAGGTCTGAGTGAAGCAGGGAAGACATGCACCGGTTAAAATTACATCGCTACTTCGGCTGTCGTTGAAGAACAGCAAGTTGACAAAGTAGCTGAGAAAACATAGCTTTTCTCTATTGATGAAAAACATCAGGGAAATGGGAAACTCATCTCTGGCTTTGTATTCTAAAATCCCTCCCTGCTGGTCTTGAGTAAGACAAAGCCCATGGCGGCCTATAGCATTCTTGGTCTTTCCCCCTTCTTTGGCTTCCCTCGAGCCCAGGTGACAGTGTTCTCAGCTGTGCTGGCTAGATGTGAGGTGATTTCTGAGCCCCGAACTTTATTCCCTCAGGTCTGCAGTGTCCTGGAGAGCCTGGAGCAGGAGTACAAAAGAGAAGAGGACTGGTGTGGTGGAGCTGACAAGCTAGGCCCAAATTCTGAAACTGACCACGTCACCCCCATGATTAGCAAGCACCTGGAACAAAAGGAAGCCTTCCTGAAGGTATGGGGCCAGGTCTATTGGGTATTGGTGTCACACTGATTGCCTGTTGAGGGCCACAGGGTCTCCTGACCATCAATTTAGAAGTGATTCTTGTAGGTTGCTGGTACAAACATATAATCTGTACCTTTCAAGAGAGGCCCTGCACACAATTGGCTCTGACTCTTGCCTTGTATGGAAAGTGACTGGGGTGATATTTTCATGAAACTCACACTGTCTTACTAGTTTCATGGTGACTGAATTAGAAATCTGTGAATAACTATTGGCTAGGAGTTACAATGCCATGTAACAGTTTATTTTGGTGAGATTTCCCTGAGGCAAAGTTATAGCTAACTGGAAGCCCCATGGATTCTGCAGACAGAAAGTGACTGGCTGGTTGACATGGTGAAGCACAATAGCCATAGCTTAACTAATCGTTATTTGGACATTCAGCCTCTTTAGGCCTGTAGACTGCATCTCAGAAGATGCAGAAACACTAAGTGGGGTGGACTCTAGTGCCTGTGGCTGAGAGTGGGTGCTAGCATCAGGAAGCAACCTCTGAGCCAGTTAGTCCTGTTCAGACAGACTGTTTTCTTCTTAGAAGGTTAATTGCAGGCACTCTGGGGAGTGCTCCCTCATGTTTTTATGTGCATCCAGTTGGCTCACACAAAAGTCACAACCATGCCTTGAAATGGTTAACTTTTTTTTAAAGTGGTCAAATGTTTAGAAACACTGGCCATGTGGATGCATGCATCCACACTGGACTTTTAACCAAGTTCTGAACGCCTCTTATTGCTTGCATCTGGGCCCATCAGAAACATTGCAGTTTACTTGTCTTTGTCACTTTATACAGGTTCAGTTTTTCTCAGTGCTTCAGTGTTCTGACTCTCCTGCCCCGAGACACCATTTCCTGTTACCTTTAATGATCTATTCCGGGTCTAAAGGTCATCTACTGTTTAGTCTGGAAAACTGAATTGTGACTCCTTGCGTTAGGGACCTTGTAGAGGGCACGGGGATTTTGTTGTGAAGTAAGTTGGAATGGGAACACTATTGTAGCTTCCAGGCATTAATTGTACCTGCGTCAAACAAGGCTTTGGAGTCTCCTCTCAGCTGGCTTTTGTTGTTGGTTTACTAATACCAACTGCCATTAGGTGCTTTCGTGTGGAAATTTGCCTGTCTTGCTCCAGAATCCACACAGTAGGAATTGAATACCACTTAGTTCATATATTTTAGCCATTTGGGTGAGAAAGGGCCTGTGCGTCTGTGGATTTTCCTGCTAATCAGTCCTCACACTGAGGATCTACTGTCCACTGATGACAACATTTAGAGATTTCCTAGTACATCAGAAGTTGCCAGTCACCCACCACCACAACAACACAATAACCAACCTCCCATCACAGCCAGGCGTTGGTGGTGCACACCTTTAATCCCAGCACTCAGGAGGCAGAGGCAGGTAGATCTCTGTGAATTTGAGACCAGCCTGGTCGACAGAGAAAGTACCAGGACAGGCTCCAAAGCTACAGAGAAACCCTGTCTCAAAATACAAAAACAAACAAACAAAATAACCAACCTCCCCAGGGCTTGGGGTTTTCACACTAAGAACTGATGGGTGCATCTGGCCACTCGGGTTCCTTTACATATAGTTTATGACAGTCTCATCTCCAAGATAGGGGCAGAGAGCCTGAAAGTGCTTACTATTGGTCTGACCTTTACAGAAATGTAGGTCCAGTATAGCTGGGCCCTGTGCTACTCTGTCCCATTAGTCTGCAGTCAAGGCGAACTGGGGATACCTTGACCTCAGGCCTGGCTGGAAAGGGCTCCACTTCTTTTGACCATAGGTCAGTGGCTCCCTCCAGTGTCCTGCCACACGGCCTATGCACTGAGCAGTTGTCATATGATCTAACCTCACAAGATCAAGGAGTCTGAAAGAGGTCCCCCCACACACACACTTATTCTTTCTAATTTTAAATAGAATCTAATCTCTGCATTTTGTAAACCGTAAGTTGACCGAAAAGCTGTTAGGTTAAAGACTTCTGATATAGTAATTCTGATATTGCCATCTCCATATACTCAAAAAAATACGTATTTGCATGAGTCACATTACCAAGAATTTGTCCACCATTGTTTCCTAGGCTTGCACACTGGCCAGAAGGAATGCAGACGTCTTCCTGAAATACCTGCACAGAAACAGCGTGAGCATGCCGGGGATGGTGACGCACATCAAAGCCCCAGAGCAGCAAGTAAAAAGTGAGTATGTTGCCACTCTGCCTCCCTGTAGCTTGTCCTCAGTGTCCTGTTCATGATAATGACAGCCTCATTAGCTGTCAGCTCAATAACAGGATACGAAGAAATATGTAGGCCTGCAGTACACTAAGTAAGCTAAGTACAAAACAGAGAATATGGCATTCAGGTTGATAGTTACTGGTAATATATGTGAGTGAAGGTATGGTCAAAATGCAAACTATATTTATTTATGTGCAAAGTAGTTTTAAAAGCTAAGTCAGAATCATGTACCAGTATTGTGGCTGTAAAGTACTTTCCACTGTTGTAAACCTAAGACAGGCTTAATTAATAAAAACAAACTGCAAAGTGTTATATAGTTTAATACCATTTGAATATAATGCACCCTTTTTTAAATTAATTTACTTGTAAATGGATGCAAAAAGGTCTAGGGAGATTTATACCAAAGTGTAATTGATAGGGCTGGTATATATAGGGTGTTATTAGATGAAGCATGAGCTGTAGAGTAAGTAGCTGCCTTACCAATTTCACACAGCTGAAACTGAGCAAACAGTGTAACATTGGCTCTATTGTCCTATAGTAATGGAGACTGTGGACCTCTGGAAATATTTTGTTTCTCTACTTGGTGGGAAAGGTTTATGCACCTCTTAGAATGAGGGCAAGAAGATACGGACGCCCGTGACGTACAGGTGGGCTGCCAGTATAACCTTCCAAGGTCAATCCAGAAGTCAGACAAATGGTCTCTCTGGAACAGGAGCCACCCTGGATCCCTGAGGGCAGTTAACACTGTGCTTAGCTGCTGCTTAGAAAAATTATTATTAGTCAGTCAGGGCTGGAAACAAGAGCAGAGGTATTTCTTCATGCATGAATTGCCATTTGCACTCAGTGCTTGTGTGGAAGTTCTAGCTTAACATTTCAGTGGACTTAAAAATTTCAAAATAGCTGGGTGTGGTGGAAGCACACATATTTAATCACAGCACTGCCTCAGGAGACAGAGGTAGAGGGATCTCTGAGTTCGAGGCCAGCCTGGTCTATAGGAGTGAGTTCCAGCACAGCCAGTGCTGTTACACAGATAAACCCATCTAAAACAAAAAAAAAAATTCAGAAATTGAGATGAATATATTTCCTGTGCTTTCAATAATTGGAAATAAAGCCTATGGGGCCCTGCTCCTTTGCTGAGCCATTGGCTACTGATAGATCAGGGAAAGGGGCAGTCATTGCCTTCATTAATGTGCCCACTGATTTGAGCCCACAGGCCCCAGTGGATAGATCCAAACCCATGGTCATATGATGGCCCCAGTTGATTGAGCAAGTGACTAAATAAATTGAATGACTTTGCCAACCTGATTGAGGTTTTCAGTGGAGTAGGACATGGGCAGTGTGGCCGCTGAGCTGACACACAAGTGAAACTCTGTAGTCCTTTCTCATAAGGTACACAGCCTACTAGGAAGGCTGTGGAAGACTTACTGCTTTTCAGATCTCCTAATATAACAAAATTATATTACAGGTATCATGGATTTGACAGGGAACTTCTGTCTTAGCACTTCTTTTCTAAAGCTTTTTCTTTGTTTTATTACCAACTAGAGTAAATTTTTCTTACTGTAAAAATGTTTAAAGGTGATGTCCTTTATGTTTCTATTGCTATGAAGAGACACCATGACCACAGCAACTCTTACGATGCAAAAACATTTAACTGTAGTGACTCACTTACAGTTCAGAAATTTAATCCCTTACCAGCATGGCAGGAAGCATGGCAGCATGCAGGCAGACATGGTACTGTAGAAAGAACTAAGGGTTCCACAGCAGGAAGAGAAAGAGCCACTGGGTCTGGCTCAAGCTTTTGAAACCTCAAAGCCCACCCCCAGTGACACACTTCCCCCAACAGGGCCACATGTCCTAACCCCTTCAAATAATGTCACTCCCTATGAGCCTATAGGGACCATTTTCATTCAGACCACCACAGATGCTCAAATGTATGTAAATTGCATAATCTCCTTGCTTCTTATAGTCCTTATTAGGCCATTTTCGTGTCCTGTCACATGAGAATGAGGAACCTGCTTCAGGTGCTGACTGAGAGCTCAGACAGGAACAGTCATTTCTTAGCATAGTCTGTCTTGCTGTGACATGAATGTAAACATCTAAATGAAAACAAGTAGGATTCTCCAGGCGTTTCAACAAGAGCAAGCACCAACATCTTCTTCTTTTCCATCTCAGATATCTTGAATGAACTCTTCCAGCGGGAAAACAGGGTATTGCATTATTGGACCATGAGAAAAAGGCGGCTGGACCAGTGTCAGCAGTATGTGGTTTTTGAAAGGAGTGCCAAACAGGTCAGTGCATACCAGGCTACCCAAACTAACACAGGAGTTCTCAATATGTCAATGCTCCATCCATGCTCACACAGGAGTGCTCAGTGGGTTAGTGCTCTACCCATGCTCACACAGGAGTGCTCAGTGGGTCAGTGCTCTATCCATGCTCATGCAGGGGTGCCCAGTGGGTCAGTGCTCCATGCATGCTCACACAGAAGTGCTCAGTGGGCCAGTGTTCTACCCATGCTCACACAAGAGTGCTCAGTGGGTAAGTGCTCCATCCATGCTCACACAGAAGTGCTCAGTGGGTCAGTGCTCCACCCATGCTCACATAGTACTCAGTGGGTCTGTGCTCCACCCATGCTCACATAGTGCTCAGTGGGTCTGTGTTCCACCCATGCTCACATAGTGCTCAGTGGGTCTGTGCTCCACCCATGCTCATTCCCTAGACTGGCAGATTTTTGTTCCAGAAGCCCTCTTTAACACTAAGTTATGATGGCAGAAACAAACATGTCTTTTAATTAGTCTGCTATAAAAATAAACCTCCAAGGCCTTATGAAAGTGTGGTGCCCTGTTTGTTTCACACTATACAAGTGTGCTGTTTGGTTTTCCTGAACTGCCTTTATCTCACACTTAACAACTACCAAGTTCAAGTCATCAACATGATTATCGTTTAAGAAGCTTCGTTGAGTTCTGGTTAAGTGGTTATAACAACACAGCAGGTGCTTTCCTTGTCGTAGTGCTGTATTTATATATTGAAGAAAAGGTCAATTTTCAGGTAAATTGAGGTAAAACTAGGTAAGAAAGAAACAGGACAGAATTTCTAATAATTCAAAATAATCAAAAAGGGTTCTTGAGTTTGGCTGAGGTAGAGACATGAAGGGGGCTGTTTTCTCTTTCTGAGGGCACTGGGACTAAGGGCTTCTAAGGAGTCTGTCCGTCATAGAAGATCATTTTAAAGTAAATCTATTCACTTATGACTTAAGCACTAAAATTCATTTCTGTTCTCTTTGGCCTTAGCACCAGCAGAGAAATGCTGGATTAATTCCATTCCCTAGGCTTGGGTTGGACATCCTCTGTGTAAATGAAGTGACTACCCCCACTCCCCATTCCATGGACTGCTCCCTGTGGTCAGTCAGTGTTGACCTCCGGCCTGACTAAGACTCCAGTGTGAGCTGTTTGTTAAAGCCACGCACAACACCCACCTCCTGACACAAAACATTCAGCCAGTTCTTGCTAGCCAAGGAGAAATGAAACTTCAGCTTAGGTTTTCCACATAGGGTACAGATTTTGTTCTGGTTGATACATCAGTTTCAAAGGACAGCCATGTCCGGAACTGCTCAGCTACATACAGATCCCGGACCTCAGATCTGATTCTCTGTTGACCTTGCCCTCATCTGTGATCAGATCCACACAATGGCAGGCTGTGGTGTTTGCTAACATTGCATTGCATTTCCCTAACATACTTTTAAAGGTGTTCCACCATGCTTCCTGAGATGGGGGTGACTTTGTTCCTAACTAGGCACTGCTCCACACCCTCTCCCCCATCTTATCTCTCAGTTTAAAGACAAGGTACACTAAGCCACAGAGAGGCACAGCTGCGGATCCTGCTCCTGGTGTTGCAGATGGGGAATGCGGGCCTGCCGTCCTTCGGAGCTCTGCTCCGTGTGTAATCATGGCGCCCTGATGGACCTCCACTGCTCACTGCAAATTAGGATCTCTCAGACTTCGCAGTTTTCACTGTGGCACTCGAAGATTACTAAGTAGATGCCACTGTTCTTAATGGCAGTGTGGAGAGGTGACGTGGCCTCTGTAGTGCCGCCTCTGGGCTTGTCATTCCCTGGCCCTTCCTGGTTCCACCTCCAGGGCCTGTCTCTCTTATCTCCACCACTGAAGCTGCCTCTCGGGACTGAGTTCACACTGCTCTTGCTTCTTCCTCTCCTCTTATCTGTTCCTGTGTCTCCCAACCCTGACCTCTGTTTGCCACTCCCAGGTGTCTAAGTCCCTGGTACCTCTTCAGCGTCTCTCCTTTGGCCTCACCAGAAGCTCTGCACTCCCGAGTCCCTGTGTCTGGGCCTCAACTCTGATTGTCCTCAGTTAGGAGTGATGAGGTGTGTCTCTGATCCCTGCCTTTCCTTTGTCGTCTTTGCCTCCCACCTTTGTTTCTTAGTCTAGGATGCTGTCCTCCCCACTCTACCCTCTCCATCCCAGCAGAACCTCTGCCATTTCTCCCAGTCTCTGTTACTTCCTTTTCTATCCAGCAAAACCTCTCCCTTTTCTCCCAGTCTCCGTTCCTTCCTTTTCTATCCAGCAAAACCTCTAACCCTTCTCTCCTAGTCTCCGTGCCATCCTTTCCTATACAGTAGCCATATTTGCTTCTGCAAAGAACTCCAAGCTCTGCCTGTGACCTCCATGGGCTGGCCTGCTCTCCACAGCCTCTGCTCTGGCCTCTTGCTTTCTCTCCCTGTGGCAGGCTGAGCTGGCCTCCGATCACACATGTGCCATCCCTTGTTGCTCCTTGGCCCCGGACTTACCTGAGACTCCACCTCCCGTGGCCTCCTTCTGACAAGGTCCTCCTCTCATCCCGGCTGCCATCTGTGACTTGCTTTTCATCTGTCTCCTTTGCAGTCTGTAAGGAAGCTGGGGCAGGCATCCAGTTCCTGGTTCCTCATGGAATCTGGCTGCAGGCTGTGGTTCAGGCCACTGTTATTCCTCAGGATATCTGCCTCCACAGTATGTACTTGGAAACCCTATTCAGTGGAGTGGAGAAGTCAGGGACGCTGAGCAAACTGACTGATGTGACCTTCATTTGTATCACTGTTACCAGTGTTTCAGAGATAGAGTGACCATCTGTAAGTATGGGGAAGCAAATGTCCAGCTGATAGCTGAAGGACCCCATGGCTTGATTTCCTTTCTTCTTTTGATATAAAAATTCCACAGATGGGACTTGGGGTGGTGGCTTTGGAGGTAAAGTTCTTGGGACTAAATTTGAACCCCAGAACCAACGTGAAGAAAAACAAAATTCAAGCTTTGGTGGTTAGACTTACAATCACAGCACCGAGGGAGGCAGAGACAGGCTTATCTCTAGGGCTTTGTGGCCAGCCTAGCCTACTTGATTCATCCCAAGCCAGTGAGAGAAACTGTCTCCAAAAAATAAAGAAAAGGGAGGGAAGGCAGGAAGGAAGGAAGGAAGGAAGGAAGGAAGGAAGGAAGGAAGGAGAAAGATGTGGATAAGGGCCCTCCTGAGTGATGACAGCGCACGCACACACACACACACACACACACACACACACACACACACACAGCCACCGATGCAGTGATGTATCTGAAAGAGACAGCAAAGTGGGTGTGCCAATAGCAACAGCAACATATTAGAATGGATGGCTTCAGGGTTCTAGGGCAAACAGACACACCGCTTTTTAAAACCCTGGTGTTCCTTAGCTCAGCCTATTTAGACGTGTATGTTCAAACAAGTCTAATTTCATTTTAAGTGTTGGCACCCAAACCTTGCTTCAGGTGTGTCATTACACTAGAAAGGTGAAGTCATGTTCTCCTGGCTGCTCCCCAGTGTGGAGCTTATGTGCAATGGGTCCTATGCAGGACACCCCAAACACAAGTGAACTAGGCACCAGTCTGGGTGTTCAGGTGGACAAGTAGTCTGGGAAGGAAACAGGGGGCCTGGGAAGGCTTACCTGCTTCTGTTTTGACTTGAAACACTGTGGCATTAGAAAACTGTGGTTCGTGTGTCCAGAGGATTGGTATGGCAAGGTTTTTAGACCATCCTTCACACACCTCTGGTTATAGGTTCTCTGACTGTCCTGTCATTAGGCCTGTAGGTTCATGATCAAGAACTGTCGCTGCATCAGAATTCTTTTCCCCTGCCCTGCTCTTTAACCCTGGAGCTACCATGCTCCTATCAACAATGTGTCTGTATGAGGGGTTGTTAATTCACACCAGCCTTGGCCTACAGGGCAAGGCCTGCTGAAATGCCTGCTTCCCTTAACCATGTTTGCATTCCTCTCCTCCAGGCGTTAGAGTGGATCCATGACAATGGGGAGTTCTACCTCTCCACACATACCTCGACGGGGTCCAGCATCCAGCACACCCAGGAGCTGCTGAAGGAGCATGAGGAGTTCCAGATAACTGCCAAGGTAAACCTGCGTGGAAGTGGGCTTCTGCTCTGCTGGACTTCTCATGCTCTCCAAGCATAACGTAGAAGGCACACTGCAGGAAAAGGTGCTTGTCAGAGGCATCACTAAGAAAGGCCTGTGACGCTGGAGACATGGCTGCCAAGTGGGGTGCCCATCAGCGGAGGTGGTATGATGTTCTTCCCCAGGGGGAGACAGAGTGTCTCCATTTGTTTACCAGTGCCTGTGTTCACCTGATTTCCATGACAACCTCCATCTCTCCTGGCTTTTGCATTGATTGTCCTTTGTATTATTTCTTGGTTGTCTTCCTCTCATTTGCTTTTTGAGTTACCTTATCAAGTCTTGCTGTTTTCCTCAAACACTGGGGGGTGTGGGAGGGTTGTCTTTCTTCTGTATTCTGCATCTTGTCCTTCCTCATCACCAGTTCCTGGAAAGTGTCACAGTGGCATTGCTCACCACACTCCATTCCCAACATGACCATGTTTACAGCTGACAAAGCTGATGTCAGGCTTGGTTCCTGGTTGTTCATGTGTTTGTGACACTAGAGGCACTGCCACTTTTCTCTTAAAAAGAGAATTGGATAGTTATTTCAGAGAGATTAGACACATCTTGGTGTCCCATGCCCTATAAGCAAATACACACATTGGCACAAATCATTCCCAAAAGCAGGCATCCCAGGAGCTGGTTCTAGTATTTATCGCAGGATGGGTTTGAACTGCTTAGATTTAGTTCCCTTCTTTATGATTTTCCTGTTGTTTTTTTTTTTTTTTTTCAGAGTTTGTTTTTAGATAACATTTATTTGTGTTAGGCTGTACATGCTAGAAATCCATGTAGAGGTTGAGGACAACTTGTGGGAGTTGGTTCTCCTTCGACCATGTGAATCCTGAAGTTCCAACTCAGATTTCTAGCTGACAACAAGTGCCCTCCTTGAACCCCCTTGCTGGATCTCCAGGGGTTGGTTGGTTTTGGGGTGTGTGTGTGTGTGTGTGTGTGTGTGTGTGTGTGTGTGTGTGTGCACTCTGAAATATTTTTCAAAATACATTTTAATAGTAGATTTGAGTTTTTAGAAGATGCTGGCAGTTATTTCAGATAAGGAGTGAAAAATAAATGACCAACCTGAATAACATATTTTTGTTTAAAAAACAAACATAAAAGTGTTCCTGTAAAGGAACAAGAATAATTTTCTTGGGGGGGGGCATGAAGGAGGGGGGGGAGGGAGGAAGGAAGGAAAGAAAGAAAGAAAGAAAGAAAGAAAGAAAGAAAGAGCAATCGAGCGAGTGTGATGATGCATGCCTTTAACCCTAGAACCTGGGTGGCAGAGACAGATGGTTCTCTTTGAGTTTGAGACTAGCCTGGTCTACATAAATAAGTTCCAGGTCAGCAAGGGCTACATAGAGAGACTCTGTCTCCAAAAACAAAACAACATATAGAATAACTATCTTTTGTTACCCCCAAGCTTTGAAAACATAAGGAGGACTTTTTTCAATCAATTGGTGTCACAACAGCTACTTTGTATTTTGCCCGTGTTTTTGCTTCTGTAACATTTCGGCTCCTCCTCCCGGCCTCTCTTTCCTGTTTCCCAGCCGTTTGTGAGCACGCTATAACCCTGGTGGTGTTTAACATGCTCTGGGGCTAGATAGCTGGTTTCCTAGTGCACTGAGGGGAATGCTGAATGAACACTGGGGAGGGTGGACTCAAGCAGGGTGGAAATGCTCACTTCAAAGATTCTAAGAACACCCAGAGAGCAGACTGATCTGTCGTCTAAAGTGAGGACCTTGGCTTTCCCTTCCTCTGGATACAGCACATTCAGCCATGTAATTCTCATTTTGTTAGAACAGAATACAAACTCATCAATACAGTGAGTGTTACAATTCTGTATTTGTTTCTCCCATGATCCTCTGATTGGAAGGGTTTTAAGGAAGTGCCTGATGTTGCAGCCAGAGGTAGATCAAAAACCAGCTATTTTCCACTGCTGCTCTGCTTCCCGGTCATGTGTTTGTCTCCACAGCCTGTTCACAGCCCTGGGACTGCACTGCTGTTGACTTCAGTGATGGGTCCACCTTGTTCACCAGGGGAACATGTGTGGGAGGTTTCCCATTATTGCTAAACCTTCCTTTCTGTTGAGTTGGGTATGGCTATTGGAAGTATAAAACAGTAGTATGCATATCTTTCTTTATCCCTGTGTTTTGTAAGATCTATAATTGTAGGAACCATCTGAGCACACTGTTTCCCAAATCTATAGAGCTAGTACTTTTGTTAAACATTATGTTAGGTAAGAACAGCAGGTCCACAGAGAATGGTCCTTGCTGTCTTCTTAGCTGTATGTTGATACTGGTGTGGGCTAGATCTGAGTCAGAGGCTCCTTGGTTTGTCTGGATGTAGTCAGGTTTTCCCTTGCTTGCACCCATCACCCTGTCTTAGTGTCTCTGAAGAAATCCTGTTTCTCACATCCCATATCAAATCCTCGGCTCTCATAGGACAGTGTCCCATCTGTTACCATAATTAGAATTAGAGCATGTTAGATGTTAAAGCCGTAAAGCCAGGGAAAATTTCCACACCTCTGTCTTACTAAGACTTCTTGACTTGGTCCCTTTGTCATGCTTAGTGCAGCCGTTTCTCCAAGGTCTGTGTAGGCACCTTCTGTGTCGGGTTCCCAGCCTTCATTTTGGAGTAGATTTCTATGTTCATGCCAGGCTACTGTGATTAGGCTCTGCAAGGGTGAGGTCTGAGGGGGCATTCAGAACAGCCTGCTTTGCAGTCTTTGCACACAGTGAGGTTTGAACCCCACCACCTTGCTAAACCACTTGGAATCTTGCAGTCAACTCCTGATGTTTCCCTGGGTCCCCATCAGTAGTATCCCTAGTGCCAGAGGCCATGCTCTGTGAGTGAGCATCTATGAGCACAGGCTGTGCACTCTTCTGGGTCTCATCACCCAAGAACATGATGAGTAGAGCCACCATTGTTGTAATTTAAGAAAAGCAGTTTGAGAGAAAAGATACCATGTGACAGGGTTCAAGCAGAGAGTTTTTTATTAGGGAAAGAGAGCCTAGAAAAGGGAAAGGAGAGGGGGAGACCAGCCTCTGGAGACAGGAGAAGCAAGAGAGAGGAAAGAGGGAAACAGAGAGGAGAGAAAGAAGGAGAGGGGGATGGGAGTGGGCAGGGCCCTTGGGGCTGTTAGCAAGGTGGTCTTTAATATTAGAGAAGAGATGTGAACGACATTCTTTGAAGATGTCTAGGGAAATGTCTTCTAGGCAGAAGCCACCAGTACACAGAGCCAGAGGAGTACCTGGGCCAGGTAATGTGGGAACTAGACACTCACGCCCAGGTCTTGCTGTGACATCACAGCTGACTTCGCAGCTAGGGAGGTTGCCCAGAGAATTCTGGCTCAAAACTTTCATTTTACAAACTAAGGTAGTTTAGGATGGGGGTTGAAATCTGACTTTGTTTTCAGTGATTTTCGGTTGGTTTTCTGAATATTTGTTATAAAGGTTTTCCAGATAAAGTTTAACTGAGCAAGGCTGGAGAGATGGCTCTGTGGTTAAGAGCACTGGCTGCTCTTCTCGTGGACACAGGTTCTGTTCCCAGCACCCACATGATCGCTCATAGCTGTCTGTAACTCCAGTTTTAGGGAAGCTGATGCCCCTGCACACAGGTGGTCATAAATGTACATGCAAGCAAAACATCCATGTACATAAAATAAAAGTAGATAAAACTTGTTTTATTTTTGAAGTTTAGCTGAGAAAAGCATGTTCCCTGAAATAATAACTTGCTTCCTCAAAAATGTCAGATCACAGAGTAAATCTGGTAGTGACTATCAGGGAAATGGTCGTGATGCTAAAGGTGTGTTGAGAAATGAGAGCTAGCTGAAGTCCATGCTGATGTGTATAACCTTTTCTGTATGGGAAGCCCTAACTGTAAGGAAAGTATGTAAATTTGATTGACTTGGTACTTCTCTGTGTACGCATGAAGTGAAACAGCCTTTGCTCTATAAACGGAGCTGCGTCTCTGAAGAGAGTTTTTGCTCTTGGTGAGTTTTCCTTCTGATCTCCAGAGGTGTGCTGCTCATGGCTGCTCTGGGCTGTTCATGTTGCCTGGTTGTCCCTGCAGATCTGGAGGTCCAAATGGATGCCCAGAAAAAGCATGTGCAAAGCAAGGAGCTGCTTACACAACACACATGTATGTGGTACTCAAAGAAAAAGAGTAAAACTAGAGAATCTCCTCCATGGGTCTCCATTCATTCATTCATTCATTCATTCACTCACCATTTTGCAGATTCTTACAGACCAGAGGAGACCCTTGACAGATAGGCCCAGTTCTAAGTTTGAGCTCATAGGAACACCACTCACTTCGGAAGAGCCAGGGGACGATTGCCAGTCCAGTCTCTGGGAGGCAGGCTGGCCTTCGGTGCAGACAGGGTGTCACTTCCCCCATGCTTTGGGTTTCTGGCAGCCCAGTTCATGTGCTTCATAGCACTTTCCTGTTGTTTTTGCAGCAAACCAAAGAGAGAGTGAAGCTATTGATACAGCTGGCCGATGGCTTCTGTGAAAAAGGGCATGCCCATGCAGCAGAAATTAAAAAATGCGTGACCGCGGTGGATAAGAGGTACAGAGATTTCTCTCTGCGCATGGAGAAGTACCGGACCTCTTTGGAGAAAGCCCTGGGGATTTCTTCAGATTCCAACAAATCGGTGAATTTGCTTTGTACACACTGGACAAGTGGTGATCTAGGTCCCCTGCCATCTCTGCTGCTCTCGTTAACCAGCCTCATTGACTCTTATTCCACAGAGCAAAAGCCTTCAATTGGACATCATCCCTGCCAGCATCCCTGGGTCAGAGGTCAAGCTTCGGGATGCTGCTCACGAACTCAATGAAGAGAAACGGAAATCTGCCCGCAGGAAAGAGTAAGCCAGCCTTGCCTGTGACAGTGAAGGGAATGCCAGTCAGCCTGCCTACAGGCTGCTGGGCTAGCTCGGCAGTCAAGTGTTTGAGACCTCACTTGGCTTTTCAAGTGTTTGAGACCTCACTTGGCTTTTCAATCAACTTCTCTGTGTGCTGACCTCTTATCACATGGTTCAGTGTCTTCTTGTCCTGTTTTCTCTGTGCCTTCCTTTCCTAGCTTGACAAATTGCTTGCCAACAGTAATAGGGGAAACTAACAAACTCAGATATAGATATTCAAAAAGTTTGTAAACTGTGCTCACTTGCTAAAGATCTCCTCTACCCCCACCCGGTTCCCACTCTGGTATTTTTGTTGCCCAGTGACATTTGGCAACATGAGGAGAGAGATTTGATTATCATTCAGTGGGAACAGGGAGGGAGGAGTGTGTCTGAAATCCAGTGTGTATGGACCTAGGCACTACCAGTCCAACCCATAGCCCTCAATAGAGCTGAGCAGCCTGAATGTTGCCATGGGAGCACTGGGGAAGTGTTTTCAAGTATCTTGGAGTTAGTAGATGGCTGACATTCTCTCTGTTCTCTACTTACCTCTCTCAAGCCATGAGTTTAGGTACAATGCACTCCATTTTATTTCATAAATCCCCATAAAAATAGATTAAAATAAAGAGTACTAAATATATGACTTAACTGAGCTGAACACATCTCTGTTCATTTCAAGGTTCATAATGGCTGAACTGATTCAGACGGAAAAGGCTTATGTGAGAGACCTTCGAGAGTGCATGGATGTAAGTCTTCCGCTTGTTCATCTGGATGGAGTTTAAGTTCCCTATTCTATTATCCGATGCTGGCTATGGGGGTGGGGACAGTATATGATCCATGGACCCAGTGTTCTGTGGTGTTCCAGGAGTGCCTTGGCTCACTGCAGAGATGATACAGCACTAATCCTCTCATTCACTTGTCACATGATAGCTTGGCTGGCATTCTCTTTGTTGAGAATAGCGGCTTCAGAGAAATGTGCCTAGCAGTTATGGTGCCTGATACTCGGTCACACCCCGAGTGTTTGTTGTACCTTGTGACAGAGATTCATTCCAAATTTGAAGCTGGGAATAAGCTAAAAGCTATAGTAAATCAAACCCAATTAAACTCCTTCTTTTATAAAAAAGAAAAGAAAAAAAAGAAAAAAAGGCTATAGTAAATCTTCCCAAGTGTTAACGGCAACTAAGAAAAGACACGTTTTTCATGTTTATGTAAAGAGTCCACTCTTACATACACTGCATTTCTTCGTAAGCTCTCAGTCCCTGTTTATAGGCTGTAGGAATGGCTGCTTCTGGAAAGTTTGCTGAGGTTTTATTTGTTTGTTTGTTTGGTTGGTTTTTTAATCCCTTTGCTTCCTTCCTGGCCAGACCTACCTGTGGGAAATGACCAGCGGGGTGGAGGAGATCCCTCCAGGTATTGTCAACAAAGAGCTCATCATCTTTGGGAACATGCAGGAAATCTACGAGTTTCACAACAAGTGAGTGGTTTTCGCTCTGGGGAGTGGTTTATTAAAATCCCCACACTGTGATGACAACTCCATTATGAGAAAAGATTTACAGCTCAATTTAGCAGAGTTCAATGATTTTGTTGGAATTTGGCTAGAGCCAGTCAGCTGTGTATATTTAAATCTCTTCTACTTTGAAATACGGTGTGTGGTGTTTTTCATTGTGTTCACATTACTGTAGTGTAGACCAGAAGGTATGCCTCCTGTGGAACCAAAGCACATGTCTGTTGGCCAGCTTCTCCCCATGCCTCCTCCTGACTCTCCCAGCCCCTACTTACCAATGTTTACACTGGATTCCTTGTATTTGACCTTGTTGGGTTCTGGGTATAAGTGAGATCATAAATATTTTCTTTCCAGCTACCCAACACTATTGTCTTCCCAGAGGAGGTTGCTAGTTTGAAGTTGACGGTACAAGGGATTTGAAGAACACACTGTCTCTTTGCAAGTTACAGTTACTTACCCTAGCCAAGAGCTACAAGCTTTGTTAAACCTTAAAATGGAGAGGACACAGAACTTTCCCATTCATGTCCTATCAACTAGTACAGTGTTGTCAGCACCTTCATAACAATACTCTTTCTGTCCTCTACAGCATCTTCCTAAAGGAGCTGGAGAAGTACGAGCAGCTGCCAGAGGATGTGGGCCACTGCTTTGTCACCTGGGTAAGGGGCCTCCACTACCTGTTTCCTCTTGCATGGTGGAAGTGAACAGGGAGGGCTCTGCTCATTTCTTCTCAGTTGCTATCTTCTGCTGATTCCTCTGGACCTAGAAAAATGCACCTTACCTCAGAGTGATCCTTCCTCGGGGCCCACAGGATTCTGTCTCATTGATCATACTGATGGCTTGAACTAGAACATTAAGCAGGCCAAGCCTCTGCTTGATGCTGGGGTGTGTCTTGGATAAGGGGCCAGTGCAGCTCAAGGAAGAGGCTCTTGCCCAGGCGATGCCTCTTAGTGCAGTAGCTTTGACACAGTTTCTCCTGTTGAATGAAGCTCACGTTCCCTTAGTCCAGAGGACTTACCTCCCACATCAGAGGTTTTTATGTTGTGACTTGTGGTTGGGAGAAGATGTCTAAATAAAATGTTCTTATTGTTTTCTCTTGTCTTTCCTTTTCTTTTCTTTTCTTTTTTTTGCTATAGGCAGACAAGTTTCAGATGTATGTCACGTACTGCAAAAATAAGCCTGATTCTACTCAGCTGATTCTAGAACATGCAGGGTCCTACTTTGATGTAAGTAGCAGAGTACTGAAGGAGACTGTCCAAACAGTACAGACAAAACACAGCGGCACTCGGAATTCTTACCATGTTGCTGGGATGATACTTTATTTCCATCTCTCATATTTACAATTTGGTTTTTTTTTTTTTATGTTTTTATTACATTGTATTTGTGTGTGCATGTGTGTGTGCGAGTCACGCACATGCGCATGCCTGTGTATACATATGTACATGTGCATGCACACGTGCTCACATGTAAGTAGCTCAGAGGACAGCTTGCAGGAGTTGGTTCTCTCCTTCCACTTTGTGGCTGACATGTAGCAGGTGCCTTTTCCCACTGAGCCATCTCACCAGCCCCTATTCTGGGATATTCTTACATCTGCTTCTACATAGAATGCTTCCACTGTAAGTATTAGAAGTCATATGCCTATAAGACATTTGAGTCTTAACATAGACATACTTGTGGTCATTAATTTTATATTCACAATATGAACTTACAATCGCACGCAGTTCCCAGAGTGACCTACCAGTAACGTCGTAGAGATTTGACTTCCAGGTCAAGTAGACGTCCATCGATTGTATGCTTGAAGAGGCTTGGGATGGGTCTTCTCCTTTTCAAAGATAGTGAAGAGAAGTTGTTTTTGTAAAGGGGGTAGGACACAATATTACTAAATGTACTTTGAGTTTCAGAACTCGTCAATTATGTGGCAGATTGTGCCTGGCAGAGGGTACTACTGAGTACTGTGTGCCCTTGGTGCACAAGGCCAGGGAATGTGGGATAGTCTTTCACAGGGAAGTCTGACCTTTGCTTTTTTCTGTTTCTGATGGGGCCCTGTTACAGCTGCTGTGCTTGGGGAGAGTTAAGTGTATAGTGATGTGTTATCCAGCCCAATGCTGTCTTTTCTTTCTGATATTTCACATGCCCCTACAGCTACAAGATTAGAGGACACTCGGTACCCAAGCAACATGTAGGCTGAAGTATAGAAAGCCTAAGCAACAGGAACATGTGCATAGCCAGAACTTTAAAACAAAACAAAACAAACAACAACAACAAACCCTGTTGGGCTAAGAAGATGGCTCACAGAAAAGATGGCTACAAGATGGGAGGAGAAAACCAAACCCCACCAGTTGTTCTCTGGCCTCCACACAGGGGTCATGGCATGTTTTTGGCCCTCAGATAGATAAATAACATTAAAGAATAAAGGAAATTATACCTGTCTGACAGATACACACCTTCGGTGTCACTGCAGGATTACTTTGACTTTTTTGTTTGTTTGTTTCAAAGATTTATTTATTTATTTATTATCTGTACAGTGTTCTGTCTGCATGTATCCCTACAGACCAGAAGAGGGCACCAGATGGTTGTGAGCCACCTTGTGATTTCTGGGAACTGAACTCAGGACCTCTGGAAGAGCAGCCAGTGCTCTTAACCTCTGAGCCATCTCTCCAGCCTGGTTACTTTGACTTTTAAAGACGTTTTTGGTTATAATGTCCTCCATTCTTTGGGTATCTTGTGCCCTTCAATTATCCTTTTCCCCAACAACAAGCATTACAGAACACCTGTCATGAGCTTTACCAGTAACTGGTGAGCATTCCTGCCTTCCTGTGAGGAATCTCAACACAGCCTCAGATTTGTAAGCACTGTTATTGCAAGATACACAGTAGAAAAGTACACGCTAGACATAGTGTGGACCAGGACTCTGCCTCCCCTTTCTGCTTGGTGGCCTGCCACCCTCCCTTGCAGAGGAAACCCATAGACCTGGAGAAGTGTGTGCTTATTATTTCAGCAGGATCAAACACTTGTCATGGATTTGGATCAAGCATTTGTCACTGATGTGGTATTGTCGCCATTTTTAATTGTATGTCCCTATGAAGGCTTTCCCCCTTTTGCTTTATTTAAATATAGGAGATACAGCAGCGGCACGGGTTAGCCAATTCCATCTCCTCCTATCTGATTAAACCTGTTCAGCGAATAACAAAGTATCAGCTCCTTTTAAAGGTATGTATGAAGCCTCTTCAGTCTGCAGAGTCTCTTACGTTACACATCACTGTTTCAACATCTGTTCTCTGTGTGTATGTGTATGTGTATGACATCTGTTCTCTGTGTATATGTGTATGTGTGTGACTCTATTCTCTGTGTATATGTGCATGTGTATGACATCTGTTCTCCGTGTGTATGTACATGTATATGTATATGTATATGTATATGTATATGTATATGTATATGTATATGTGGTTTTCTTTACTGGCATTCTTGACCTATCTAGTTTCTTATTGAAGCAGTTACATAAGCTCATATTCCCTGTTGTGCCCCAGAGGCATGGTTGGCACTTGTCTATAACATAAAATGGCCTTTGACTGAGAAATAACCTGTCAGCTCTCAGTCCTTCTGTATCCATGGACCCCAGCACTGACGGTGGCCCAGGCACTGCACACCGCATCCTGTAGATGTTTAGCCTGCAGCAGTGCTGACCAGAAGGTGAAGAAACGAGCTGCCCAGGGTCAGAGAATGCCCAGGAGCATTGCTGATACCTGCCAGCTTTGAGCCCAGGCCCAGCTGATGCCTGGGTTTTCCATTGACTCCACAGCACCCCTCCCTCTTGCTGCTCCCCATGACTGCTACCATTTTATCATGTTTTACAGAACATGCTCACACAGATCCCAAAGGCTTCTGCAATCCTGGCCTTTGTTTTTGTTATAAATAAGTTTACCTGAAATCACCCTTACAAAATTTTAGTTATGATTAGTTTCACCAATATAAAGGTGAACAAACATCACAGATGCATCATGTCATTAATGCATATTTTCTCACTGCATAAGAGTTATTACAACTTTTGTCCGGCAAAAGTATTAGCTTCCTTTGCTGGTGAAACATATGAAACTTTAGCATGGAGACTGTCCACAAACCTGTGTCACCTGCTGTCTGGGGTACCACAGGAGACTGAAGCTAAGGGTGCCTAAAGTTCTTTCTGGGAGAACTGTAAAGAGTGGCTGCATTCTTTTATACAAGTGATACTATTATGGGACATTTCTATTGAAAAAACTCCCACACCCCACCCCAGCCCCAACACATACAATACAATACAGTGCCAGGGATCAAACCCAGAGCCTCACACATGGTAGGTGATTGCTCTGTCAACTAGCCACACTCCTCTCCCTCCCCTGTGTACTTCAATATTTGAAATCTCACCCAGTGACTTGGTGAGCATCACTGCAGAAATTTGTAGCTGCTGTGAGCATGATGTCAGCCAGAGACTGAGTTTAATTTCTTTACATCCAGGTAATTTGCCCATTGCATCCTAATTCTATAAAAGTGCTTTGTCTATAAGTATCTCCTAGTGCCCACAGAATTAAAGGTTTTGTTCTTAGGCCATGTTTCCACAAAGATCACGCTTCCATTTCTAAATCCTTCCTCATTTTCCCAAGAAGTTCTCCTAAGTGGGGAAGGCTGTCTGTCCATCTGCACAAGCAGGAGTTGAAGCACACTGTGCTCTTAAGGTAGTTTCTGCAGAGTTCCTCAGAAGCATGAACATCTGACCACAAATGAAGGCACCTGTCAGGGAATGAGTTCCTCTAGACAGAGGTTCTCAACCTTCCTAACACTATGACCCTTTAATACACTTCCTCAGAGTGTGATGACCCCAACCGTAAAATTATTTTTTCTGCTATTTCATAATTGTAATTTTGCTACTGTTATGAATCATAAAGTAAATACTTTTGGAGATAGAGTTTTGCCAAAGTGTTCGGCCCACAGGTTAAGAACCACTGCTGTAGCTTACTGCTGACCACCCTGCTATGTCGCTCTTATACATCGCATACACAAGACTGTTGTCACTGTGACTAATTTTAGTACTGGTACCCCATGAAGGAATACCTCAGACCCATCAGGGTATGAGCGTGCTTTCCCTGCTGTCCTCCCCACGTGGCAACTGATGGTCTTCCAAGTAGTCCGGAAGTGGAATTACACACATAGATCCTTCCAAGAGGCAGGGCTCATCTGCTGGAACCTCCCTAAGTACCCTGCACAGAGATGGGTTGTCTGTGGTGTGCTGCTGTTCTGATGCAGGATCAAGGGAGACATTGACATTGTGGGGTTGTGTGGTCAGCAGGGCAGGTGGACTCTGGCATGGCAGTCAGTTGTCCCCAGTCGCTGATTATTCCTTACAAACTCGTAACATTGTATTTTCTCATTTTGGAGATGTGGTGGTTGACCAGTATGCCAACTTTATCTTGAATTGTGACTGGATCTGTCTTCCTCTATTATCCTCGTTCAAGTAGAACAAACCCTGTTGCCTGTTGAGCAATTAAAATTCACTTTTTAATAAAAAAAATCACCCAGTTGGCTAGTTTATTTCCTGAGCACTCTGAGTTTTCATGGATTTCTGATATCTGCTGAGATGTTGCCACAGAGTGAGCATTTTTTGCAATCCTTTACTAGTTAATGGTGTTGATCTTCCTCAGGAGCTGCTCACATGCTGTGAGGAAGGAAAGGGGGAGATAAAAGATGGCCTGGAGGTGATGCTCAGTGTGCCAAAGCGAGCCAATGATGCCATGCACCTCAGCATGCTGGAAGGTAACAGGATGTGCCAAGTCCTTAATGTACAGTGGCATCATCTCCACGGATGCTGTGTGAAAATGAATCCTCTTCTTTCTTGACTTGATGAAAACAGCCATACATACCATTCTACATTCCAGTAGTGCTTTGCGTCACCTACCTCTTATCTAATACTACCTGGCTTTCCTGCTAATGGAGGTGTAAATGATGATCAGAGATACTGAGACCCAGGGTTATAGAAGGTCTTCTTACTTCCCCATTTGCATATCCATTGCTAGGTGTTTACCCAAAGCAGATGTCTGGTGAAGCAAGTGAATTTAGTGTATAATGAGGTGAACAGAAATTAGACAAATGCATCCAACAGGTATTATAGCAGTTTGCACAAACACTTCTGTTTAATAGCTCTGCTTCTGCATAGTCGAAGTTAGCATTGCAAAGGGCTTGTCCCAAATGCGTGTGCTAGTTTGTGCCATGTTATTGGTAGCATCGAGAAATGTATTAATTAGAACACAAGTGCCACTATGCAGTAGAAACTCAGAGGTCAAGCAACACTGATGTGTCTTCCTCTGATGTAAGATATCTCTGACTGAAAAGCTGTTCTTCATGATGCCATCAAAGGGAGGGACTGTACTCTGGCCTATCCTACTTTTCCCAGTAAGCTGCAGGACCACATTGACATATGCCACCTCACAGGAAGCAGGGGGGCTTGTGGGCAGGGAACCCCTGCCAGCTGTATGCATTCTCACTTTCCGGGAGTTGGGTGCCTAGCTCTTCCTAGCTAGTAAAGGGACTGTCGAGTGAAGAACTTACGGTGGCCCTGGCGGGAGTGTCTGCTCTGAAGAAGAGACAGAAGTGGAGGAAGTGAGCAGCTTCTGCCTGGGGTGCTGCTTTGCTAAGTCCTGATGGCCACATCTGTGATGAAAGAGTAGCCAGAAGGCCACCATGTGGCCAGGTCCAGGCTGATTCGTGTGCACAATATTCTAGATGTAGATAGAAGATGGGCTAGTATCATTGTCTCCACCTGACTAGGACCTGAACAGGGGGACATTGAGGCTGAAGAGACAAAGAATCAGGCTGGAATGTGGGCAATGGGGGGGGAGTCACTCTGGTCACAGCAGAGGTTGTGAGTGAGGGACAAGGAGTTGGGACCAGACCTCCATGATGTAAGCCAGCAGAAAGGAATGGAAAGTAAAGAATAAAGCTATGAGGATCCCCTGAAATTTTTGATCTTGGAAGATACAGACAAAGTAGTATTCTAGGAGGAGTTGCCTTCTGTTGGGAGGGCTCCCCTCCTCATTCCTCCCCCCCCCCATGAAAAGCATGCACCAGGGAGTGGGATTGGAAGCTGAGCAAGGGCAGATTACAAGTCACATAGTGAGGACGCTTCCTTCTGAGTCATGCTTGCTTTCCCTCTGAACTGACTTGCCTGCTTTTGTTTCGTGTTATAGGGTTTGATGAAAACATTGAGTCTCAGGGAGAACTCATCCTGCAGGAATCCTTCCAAGTGTGGGACCCCAAAACCTTAATTCGGAAGGGCCGAGAACGGCATCTTTTCCTCTTTGAGATGTCCTTAGTGTTCAGTAAAGAAGTGAAAGACTCCAGTGGGAGAAGCAAGTACCTCTACAAAAGCAAGTTGTTTGTAAGTATAGACTTGTGAATTGTGAAGCTTCTATCTTGTTCAGATATTGTGTCTACAGCCTGAGTCCACTAGAGGGCATGCTGGTATTCTGTGGACTTGGGGCTTCTGTTCCTGAGGCCCATAGCTTCTACCTGTGGGGTGAGGAAACATTGTAGGAGTAGATGAAGTCCTGTGTTGTCAGGGTGCCCAAGTAAGCCCTCATAACATTTTAATTATTTTTTAATCCATAAATATCAAAATGTATGCAGGCAGCCTTAATGGGTGGGCTCACTACAGATTCACAATAATGAAGATTTGATTTCTTTTTCTGTTAGAAGTTAATTTATGAAAAGTAAATGAATGAATAAATTTGAAATTTTTATATTAGCAAAACATCATTATTAGAGAAAAAATAGATGATCAAAAATAATGTTTGAAAGATCCGCCAACTCTATCCATGTGGAGACCTTTGGAGTGTTCTCATAATATATTTTGGTTCCTGTCCCATGTCAGTGTGTTTCTGGGGAAAGGACCTGCCTGAAACCCCAGTGCTACTATTCCATACTAGCCAGCCCACGGCTGTGCACAACTGAATGCCTGCTCCCTGGAAGTCTCAAGCCAGGACAAACTCTGGTCCCCTGCACATAGGCTTTTCTCAAGGCCACTGCTCAGAGGGCTGGCAGCACAGAATTGCTGGATGGAGGGAATGAGATGAGGTGAAGGTGTGCTTACCATCTAGAAAGGAACAAGAGTGCCATTGAGTCACCTCTATGTCAGATCTCCTTAAACCTTTTTAGACATCTGACATTTGTATGACTTAGTGTTACAAGTTTTAGTGATATCTGTAGATCAGGCAAACTCCCAGAAGAATAGAGATTTCTGAGTTCGGAAACTGTCTTAATAATAACCTGGAATCTGCAAATTCCTACTAATGGGTTTCATTGCAATGTCTTTGGCTGGTACCCTGGTGATGATTGTCATCTGGATCTCTCTGTGGCCTTAACATCAGTTAGGTCATACTCCATCTGGAAATTAGAAAATACAGTCTTGTCGGGTAATGATTTTACTGCTGGTTTTAATCTGCCCTTGGAGGCACGCGTGTGTGTTTTAGAAATTGATACATCTTAGCTTAATTTATATTTTACAAATTAAGATTCCTGCAGAGGCTGCCTTTGGAGCCCCAGCTTGTGAGTCACTTCCGTTGCTGGAGGGAGAGATCGGGTAGAGGCCATCATAGGGGAGGAGGCCGAGTTCTGTGTGTCCCCAGATGGGATTTTGTCTCTTGGAATTACAGTGCATGATGACATGCTAAAAGTTAATGTGACAGATGAAATCCAAAGATTTTAGCCCTCCGTCAAGGTGTGCCACTGGTCAGAGTGGATCAGGGGAGCCGTTTGAACTAGGAAAAGCCCATGCTTGTTTCTAAGCTTGGGCTACTTCTTCAGTGCATTCTGCTTATTAAGCTCCATAGCAGTCTCCAGAAGAGCTCAAAGGCATCAAAGGCAAAACCCATCAGGGTGATCTGATGGCAGCTTTCCTCCTGCCAGCTAAGGCAGTGGTTCTCAACTTTCCCAATGCGTTCCTCCTGTTGTGGTGACCCTCAACCAAAAAAATTATTTTCATAGCTGCAATTTTGCTACTGTTACAAATCATAATGTAAGTTTGTGTTTTCCGGTAACCTTAGGTGACCCCTGAGAAAGGGTCATTCCACTCCTGGGGGTGGGGGTCACAACCACAGGTTGAGAACCACCAAACAAAGTAGCTATCAGCAACCAAAGATATCTTTTTCTATGTCCTAATCCTACAGAAATTGTACTGTTGTCTAATAATCTAATTGTTTTTTATCCAGACCTCAGAATTGGGTGTCACAGAACATGTTGAAGGAGACCCTTGCAAATTCGCACTGTGGGTGGGGAGGACACCAACATCAGACAATAAAATTGTCCTTAAGGTAGGTTAATTTAGAGCTGAGGTTTGCTATGTGTACATTTATTGTAATGATATGTGCTGGGTTTTTATTTTTTGTTTTGTTTTGTTGTTGTTGTTGAAAAGCACAGATTCCATGTTATTTTATTTGACTTTTTTTCACTCTAATCGGATTGGTGAAACACACGCACACACACACAGAGACACACACACACATTGAGTTGTGTTTGCTTTTCTATGAGAAGTCCTTTGGAAACTGGGAAAGTTGGGGAGTAGGGGAGACCTGCATGAGGTGGGCACAGGTGGCGGAAGGGACACTACTTCCTGATGGTTCTCCCACCTGCACAGGCATCCAGTATCGAGAACAAGCAGGACTGGATAAAGCACATCCGCGAAGTGATCCAGGAGAGGACTGTGCACCTGAGGGGAGCCCTGAAGGAGCCCATCCACATCCCCAAAACTGCACCAGCAGCAAGGCAGAAGGGGAGGAGGTGAGTGGGTGCCAGTGTCGGGAGAGTATTCACCTGCTGGGGAGGGAACAGGGGCATCACCACTGTTTGTCTTAAACACTTAGAGCATGTGTGGTTTAGATGAACTGCTTTGTCAGGACAAGAGACTCTGCTGGCTGAAAACAAAGGCCCTGTACAGATAGATCCCTCTTCTTGTCCCATCTGACCCACGACATGGAAACATTTGTTTGTTCATTTCTCAAATGGAAATGAACCTGGCTTGGGGAGTTCACTATGTTGAGAATTCAGTGAGAAGATATGTTAGGCACTTACCATATTGCCAAGCCAAAAGCCATGGTCAACACAGGATGGCATGGGGCTGCAGAGATGGCTCAGTGGTTAAGATCACTGACTGCTCTTGCCAAGGCCCTGGTTTCTGTCCCCAGGTATTCACATGGTGGCTTCCAACCATCTGTAACTCCAGCTCCTGGGGATCTGATGCCTTCTGATCTCTGTTGGCACCAGGCATGCACATTGTTGCTCGTGCATACATATATGCCGGCAGAGGACTCACACACACAGAATCAAATAACTCTGAAACAAAGCAAGCAGAATAGAGCTGGTTGTAGGAAGGGCTATAGTCTAACATGGGTTTATTTCAACTGGGAGATCACCTTTTACCAGTTCACAGTGTTAGGGTTTCTGTGTTCTACTAGGGATGGAGAGGACCTGGACAGCCAAGGAGATGGCAGCAGCCAACCTGATACCATTTCCATCGCCTCCCGGACTTCTCAGAACACACTGGACAGTGATAAGGTGAGCTGCTGCCAGCACTGCCCCTTTGAGTCAAGGTATGGTGGCTTAGCATTTTAAAGACAAGTGCTGGATTCTAGAAGTTGGCCAGCCTTCCATGGCAGTGCAGAGACTTGGAGGCTAAAGCGAGACTAATGCTAAGGACTCAGAAGAAATCTTTCCACTCATCCTGTCCACCCATCTCAGTCACTTGATTTTATGGCAGAGTCTTTTAAGACAGTTTACCTTACTTAAGCCTTTGCATTTTGTTCATAAGCCAAAGAATCTATTATTTAAAACCAAATTTGACCAAGAACCAAATATGTAAATGTGGAACTTTGTCTGAGGCATGGGTACTAACATCCTCCATGGTGGGCCCTGAGATTTACCCTTAGTATTTGGGGTACACAGAACAGAACACAGAAAGTTCTAGAACACTGGACTGGGCCTTGGACAGTCATGATCACTGAAGGGAGAGATCTGGCTTTTGTCTAAGGCATTTATTCAGTTGTACCTCTTTAAGAAATGGCTCGAATGTCTCCTGTTTGGTCTTAGTTAGGGTTTCTGTGGCTGTGAAGAAAAACCAGGACGATAGCACCTCTTATACAGGAAAACATTTAATTGGGGCTGCCTTATAGTTCAGAGATTTAGTCCATTATTGTCATGGCAGGGGCATGGCAGCATGCAGGCAGACATAGTGCTGGAGAAGGAATTGAGAGTTCTACATCTTGATCCATAGGCAGCAGAAGCAACTCAGAAGCAACTGAGTGTATAGGTTCAGCATAGGACACCTGAGAGCCCACCCCAACAGTGACACACTTCCTCCACCAAGGCCATACCCTCTCCAACAAAACCATATCTCCTAATAGTGCCACTCCCTATGGAGGCCATTTTCTCTCAAACCACCACATGATTCTTCTTGTAGAATTCAAAGACCTACAGAATAAACTGATATTCAGTAGACTTGGGAGTCATGGGTTTGTGTGGTAGAGAGAAGATGAGAAAGTCCTGTGTCAAAGCCAGTAGACATGTGTCTTGATGAATGTTCTGTTCCTAACAAGACGAGCATCTGTTCTAGCTCTAAAATGCTAGACCAGATTCTTAAAAATAAAATGCAATATATAAGCATTTCCTTTCAACTCTGTCAGTTCACAATTCACAGTTTCTCACTCCCTGGTACAAGCTGGTTCATTACTGAGTGGTGACTGTGAGACTTAGATTCTCAAGTCCCCTTGTACTCAGAGGCAGCCATGTCCATGATCCCCCTGTCTTCAGAAGGCCAATACTGGGTGATTGTTTCAGATAGTATATTGAACAGATGTTGGGGGTGTCTTCGTTGCATTTGAGGATTCACATAGTAGTTTCCAGACAGAAGGAAGTAGATTTAAAATCCTGCTCCTCCAAGTGGCCCATTTCCAAAGCTCTTCTAGTGTGAGTCATTGGGTTTTTCATTCTAGTTTTTGAATCTACTAAATGGCATGGACTAATGCTTAAAGAACCTAACATAGCAAGAGTAGAGGACAAAAATTTGCTTTTCGTTGTGTTCAGGGCTGGCATATTAGTCAAGTCAACAGTCATTTAGCCACTCTGGCAGCAGTAGGAAATAAGGTGGATGGCATGGTCTGCTATTTGGTAATTAAGAGCTTTGTTTAGGGTTTTTTTTTTTTTTTTTTTTTTTTTTTAAAAAAAAATTTTTTTTTTTGAAAAATTTTTTTAAAAAAAACATTTTTAATTTGGAAAAATTTTCTTAGAAAAAACCAAATTTTGAGGGTTTTTTTTTTTTTTTTTTTTTTTTTGAAAAATACAGTTTGCATTTGGAAACATTCTACTAGAAAATACCAATTGTTGAAGGATTTAGCTTTTAGCTTTTTGATAACTGAGGGAGTTAGCTTGTCAGTTTTTATGAGACTGCCACCTAAAAGAAAAGACAGACCAAATAGGTTGACAAGTATGACAAGGATAGCCATTTATATCCAGGCAACCTTACCGGCCCTTTTCGAATTGCCCTCACATTCTTCTAAGATGTACTCTCATGGCTCAGCTCTAGACTTACTGTAGATACAGCTTTAATGTTCATGAGAAATAAATCTGTGGAATGAAATTGCCAAAGAGATAGATGTAATGTTTCCCCCTGGAAGGCCAGTAAAGGCTTTTCTGGAAGTTGGCCCAGAAAGCATGATCAGTTGTGTTTTGGGGTGCTGAACAGGTAAATGGCTGGCTGTGAATATAGAAATGCCTTCCCCATTCTTGAATGGGCTCTTCATCCAGTGATAGGTTTGCACATTGCCCCACCCCACCACAGCCCTGGTCCCCTGAGGCTTGTCTACTAACATGTTAGGGGTTGTGTGAACTTAAAGAAGATTCTGTTATTACTCGGTGTGTGAGGATGAATAGTTCTTAACCAAAGTGTAGGTTTATAGTAATTGCTTATTTGCCTTGAGGGTCTACTGGGACATTGGAATTTACAGGAATTCCCCTTTAAATAGTTTATCAGTGAGGACAGTGAACCAGTTCCATTGTCTTCATCCAGTGGTGTCATCCCTAAAGCCATCACTTCATCACTAAAGTTTGCTCCAGCACTCAGCAGTCCCTGAAGGGCTGCTCTTCATGGCCACCCCTCCCCTGTTTGGGAAGTAAAGCTAGTGCAATCCACAGCACCAGTCCTGGACCCCGTAACTCTTCACTCTCTTGAAATGATGACACTACAAGTCTTTTCTTATCAATGTGACACACTTTCCTTTAGTGCCTCTGGGTGAGATCAGGGTGGTCAATAGCTGTGAAGGACAAATAGGGATGGCCTATGTACCTCTGCTATTAGAACTGGATAGTTGGCTTCCCTTCTGGTCCTGTGTTAGGGATTAGAATGGCCACATAGGACTTGTCATTTAAAGCAGACATACTCATTAGTCCCAATAAAAGGTAGGAGTGTTTGCAGCCTGCTGTGCTTGTGTTTGTGGGCTCTCCACTCTGGACAGCTTTCTTTTAGTCATTCTACTTGTGCATCTCTGGTCACAGATTTCGGAGTCTGTGGATAACTGGGAAGAATGCATGGAGCGTCATCTTCTCCTGAGTCAGAAGGTGGAGAGCTCTGCTTCTTCCAGCACCTCCTGGTCTCTGGGGACGACAGCTCTTCATGAACCTAAAGCTTCTCTCCACCCTACATAGTGCACATTAAGTGACCTCTGCTGATACAGACTGCTGTTTCTAGCAAGGAAATAACTTGAGATCCTCTGCCTGTTTGACTCAATTTATCGTGTCTGGTTTGAGTTAGCTGCTGTCATGGAATTTGGTTCCAGTTCAGAAATTGGGAGAGGGGGTATGTTTTGTGCTTAGTGTCTTATAGAATTCTGAGAGGAAGTTGTCTGCCAGAGCTGTTAGTAGTCATCAGATAAGGCACCAGAGGTTTAGGACAAGAGTCAGCTGAAAAGGGGCTCCAGAGACACCCTCTTTCCAGGGCACAGCTCCATTAGGCACAAACCCCATCCCACAAGCCCATTTCCTGTTCAGAGAGCATCAGTCTTAAAATATGTCATTTTTTTTGTTCCAGATGTGAGTTTAACACTGATTCTTGCTGATATTCATAGTTCTTTGGCTTTTCCTAGGGAAGGCAAAAGAGTCAGAGACACCCCATTCCCAATGTTAGCAGACTTAGGCTGATAAAATGATCTTATGAAAATGTGATTTGTGTTCCAAAACCAACCAGATGCTTTCCAGGATCTTACTCACTGCCCTGGGCACATCTCCTGAGGTAGGGAGGGGGTGCTGACCTGGTACTGGCCCAGCCCTGGACACTGAGATGAAGCCAGATGAAGTGTCAGTCATCTCCTGAGGTAGGGAGGGCATGCTGACCCAGCCCTAGAGGGGCTGATGAAGCCAGATGAAGCAATAGAGCCAGAAACAGAATGTGGATTTAATCATCTGTTGTCTTGCAGCCCTTATTCTTTTATGGCTGGGCTGACTATGGAGCTGAGTGTTTGGAGGTCACTAAAGAGGCATCTTGAAACGTCATCTCCTCACTCTTACTGTATTAGTCTGTGATTCCTATCATGTAAACCAAATCTGTGTCATGAGACACAGAGGGAAGTGTGGGATTCAAACAGAATGGCCTAAGTAAGAATGAGGTGTATGGAAGAACACACCCAGGCCAGTGTGTAGACTCCCGAGACCCCCAGTGTGCAGCATGTGGATTCCCGAGACTCCCAGTGCAATGTGTAGACTCCTGAGACCCCCAGTGTGTAGCATGTGGACTCCTGAGACTCCCAGTGCAATATGTAGACTCCAGAGACCCCCAGTGTACAGCTCTTTAGGAGGAGTACACACACAGTGTGCAGCTCTCTAGGAGGAGTGCACAGTGCATTTGAAATTGGTTCTTGGCATGAACTTAAGCTTACAACAGGAAATATCAATGTGCTTATCTTATTTTTAGGGATGCACATGTTTAAAAAGTATGTGGTAACAGTTCTCTTATGAAGTTGAAGCCCTGTGTCAGGGATATTACTTTCTGGGCAGTTTTAAAGCTGGATCTTCTGTCATGTGACCCTATACTACAGGAGCTTGTTTGGACTTGCATAGTAAGTCTGAAAAGTAGCTAAAGCCGCAGTTTGAAATATGGCTTCCCTGACACTCTTAGAAGAGGAGCTGTGTCTACTCGCTGAGGAAGAACTATTCTCCTCAGCATGGGCCTGCATCCCCTTCATTGCAGCCTGCAGTCAGGGCCCGCCCAGCCCTGCTCAGAGAAGGCACATCACCACCTGACCTGCTCAAGAGTGTTGCACTTCCTGGAGCTGGGCTGGATTTTCCACACATAATAGAATTGGGTCACTGAGCTCCAAAGTCTTCCACAGGGTAGGATGCTCATCTCCAGGGGCCCGGTGGGGAGGGGTGCCTCTCTTCCCCTACTCAAAGCATATCAAAGTACTGAAGGGCACGGCACACACATCACACATGTCCAAGTGCAAGCCCTCAAGGATGAGGACATGCTCACTAGCAGACCTTAGCCTTTTCCTCCTCATCTAACTTGGGCA